TGACCGTAGCTGAAGATTTGTCGCGCAAAACTTACACTTTGCTTACTCCAATAAGCACCACAGCAGGGAATTTGTGGGGACAAATCAATTTACATTTTCCCTCATTCTGGTTACCTGGCTGGTACTTTCTTACCGGTCTGTTGTGCCAATCGTGCCTTTCCGAACCTTACAGGTTGACCCTTCTTAATCCCCTCTAATGATTGTGCCAGTCGTGCTATTCCAAATCGGCTAAAAATGTGTGCCAATCGTTCTACGGCCGTTTTTACAACTAATCCCCCGTCATTTTCTATTATTCTTATTCAAAATCTATTGTAGAACACGAAAATGACATTATCTACTCAAATCCATTTACAGGTAATGGAGAATTAGCTGTATTAAGTTTAAAAACATAGGTAGGTAGTTATTTAAAAAAAAAAAAAATAATAATAATTCTTTGGGAAGCAAATTTTTAGACTTGGAACCTTTTATATGCATCATCACACTGCATTTACTTTGTACTTACACCAAAAAACTTTTATCACTCTGAGTACCTATCACCCTGTATAAATAAATAACATTCCAGTACTAAGATACAATCAAAATTGTTAAATACCCCCGCCGCAGCAAACCTGCAGACTAAGCAAATTTCCATTTGCCTGATTGGATTTACACTAAAATGCCTCCCTAAAAATATCACATTTATTCCCTATTTAAATAGAATTAGTTTGAAGAGTATCTACTACGGTTTGCTGCAAGGGGGGGGGGAAAGTGTTTTTTGTTGTAAAATCTTAATAGTTTTAGTAAGAAATGCACGTATTTTCAAAATTCGATCAAAGTATGTCCATAAACAAGCAAACTACAACAGTTGACTTATTCTCTATAAGAATAACATGGGAATTTTAAATTTACAATTTTTTCGTATTTTCTCCGTAACCATTGAGCAAACAATAACGCTTCATTATACTAAATTATTTGTTTTTAAGCTTTACAAAATGGTTTGGAAAGAAATTGTGAAATTTTTTGTTTTTAGGGTCAAAATGGGAAAACCCTATTTTTACCCCATAAAACCCCCCATAAACCCCCGTTCCCATAGTCCGATCATGCTGATTCGTGAACTCGTTCGAATAAAAGTAGGTTTACACGTTTATACCAAATTTCATCAAAATCGGATAATTTTTGCTCGAGTTATCGTGCTAACGGACACATATATAAATATTAAACATTAATAAACTTAGTACCCAAGTAAAAATTATTTATTAAAATATTTACTAAGTAAATAAGTAAATATTTAAATAAATAATTTTTACTTGGGTACTAAGTTTATTAATGTTTTATATATAGTAGCCCTATTATTCTATTTTTCATATATATGTATGAATTTGAACGGATGGTGTTTTTGGTCTCTAGGGACCTCGAAACGAAAAGGAAATCGGTCCCGGGTCCAGGTCTTACCATGAGTACCACGGTAATAGCTTATTCCCTATAGGGGAAATTCGCTAAAAAACATCATTATTTCTATTTCTTCTCCTTGGCGGTGTTCTATGACTTTCCTATGTTTCCATTGTTTGAAAATCGGCTCTTTCAATGATTACTAAGAAATATATATGAATGTCAGGTAAAGGTTTGAAAGGTGTTATCCTGTGTGTGACTGAGTCTGAACCCAGATAAAATGTCTATGACTCAAATTAAAAGATGTGGCCTAATTCATAAAATATTGTAAGATTGTCATGATACTAGGAGCAAATCCTATAAAATCGTAAAAAGTTGACGTTGTTGGCATAAAACTAAAATCATGATATAGTTTCTTACCTATCTGTAGCTCCAGGTCTGATCTCTTCTCTGAAGACTGACTCACTGAGAGTTGATCTTAGGTCCTTGTGGAGTGTATGTCGGTTTGTATATGTTGGTCTGGCAGACAGACTAAACTATAACAACAATCTCGATAACTACGACCCCGCCACCCAGCAGGAACTGATAAGCAACAACGCTGCATTCAATCTGCATTTTATGCTCCCAAGAAGTACAAAGACTTTTCATAGTGAATGCTTCATTAACTTAGATAAATAACTTTTATCGTTCCATGTCAAGTCGCTCTTCTTCTAATTGGCAAAATGTGTATTGTGATATTATTCCATTTCGATAATAAATATGTTTAAAAGCATAAAGAGTTATTGTAAAAAAATATGGTCAAAGTTACGAGTAGGTTGCAATTAAAATTTGAAATATTTCTTGGTCTTAAAGTGAGAAATTTGTTTTTCAAGACAATGAAAGAAAGGTGGTAAACGTTTTGTACAATATTGCTCACCGTTTTCTTTGTAAGTTATTTGTTGTACTACCTACCTACTAGTATAAAAAGGAGGTTTTCTTCAGCAGCTCGTTTTGTTCTAAATGAAGAAATGATGTGGTTGAGTCAGTTGAGTACCCTAATAAGTTACTGAAAGAGCAATATTACTTTAAGAGGGGGGAGGGGGGAGGTTTTTACCTTTCCACGTAGTCGGCAAAAGCAATGCTGCTGATAATCTAACAGCAATTTTTTCACACAACACACAAAGTTTTAACAGCAGTTGTACGGTAATTATAAATTAGATTAATGTCACAAAACAATAATTGTGTCAAAAAATTGTAAGTTTGCCCTATTGTAAAAAAATTAATGACTTCTATCTAAAGCATTTTCATTTTAACGTACTTTGTGTTGATGAGTTAAAATAATAAATCCGTAGAGTATAACAACATTCTTACATCCAAACATTTTCTGATACCTATGTGCAACAGGAAAAAAAAGGACAGTTAATGGACAAAATCAAATTTTGAGTATGAAAGTAATAAAGCAAAGCTAAAAGCTTGGCCAATATAGGTTTACTACATTTATTTATCAAAGGTATAAATCAAAAAACATTCTCAACAATCATTCCGACTTCAACATAAAATATTGTTCTTAATAAAAATTACATCTAAATAACATACCCTACACTAGTATACATAATTGATACTGTACAGTTTTAAGGTGGTTTTAAGCCAACTTACACTTACGCAATGGCATATCTTGCAGTTGTAGACATTACGAAAAACCTCTCAATAGATCATGTTTGCTAAAACATTAGAGTTTACACACCTATCACTTCACTATCACACTTTAAGTCAGCGACTTTAAATCTAATCGAACTGTAAAACGAGATAAGTTATCAATAAAATTCACGGATATTAATTTCCGCGATAAAAACCTTTCACAGTAATTGCAGTGTAGTTTCGAACAATCAACAGCTGATAGGTTGTGTTGTGCCGGAACAGCTGGGAGTTTGATGATATCATCACAGCACATGGAGTAATAAGCTATACGGTAGATGATACGCAAATTTGTTGATGACGTCAAGGAGTGCAAACGATAATTATAATAGCATTTAACAACAAAGTTGTTAAGTATTTTAGCCATAGATTATTGCCAATAGTGTTGCAACATTTAGTGTTTTTATGTACGACGTTTTATGTACACATAATCATTTTAATTTACACTAAAGACTCCAATTACGTGAAACAAATAAAATTTACAATGGTATTATGAAACGTCCCGGTGTAATTAAGGGAAGGGTATTAATTGCGCCAATTGACCTGAGTCAGGTTGATGTATTTCTGAATTGCGCAAACGACTTCAGGTAGCCATCTGACGGACATTAACTGCACCAAGTGGTGGCCCTCTTTGTATGTTTAATTTAGTAAGTTAGGTTAGGTTGGGATATGTTTGGCTATGATGACACGTAAACAAGGATATTCCCTCTGTCGGAATCTTGCCCCTACCTGGCTTGGGCTTAGCGCAACTAAGGAACATTTTTTGGGACCCTTTGAGGGCGGAACTCTTTGGCGCAATTAATACACTGTAATTAAGAATGCAGTGGAGTTTCCAAAACATACAAAACATTGGTCGGTCTATTACTTTAGGTGGCTTTGTATGAAATATTTGGCAGGAGATGATACATTATTGGTTCAGATTCAACAATGAACCAGCTGACTTTTCAGTTGGAAACAGCCTACAATCTAAAAATACCCCGACCGCAGTAAACCTGCAGCATAAGCGAGTTTCAATTTTCCTAATTGGATTAACACAACAATCCTAAACATTTCAGGCATATTTCCTATTTAAAAGGTTAAAGAACATTAGCTTTAATCAATATTTCGGTTTGCTGGTACAGAGATAAAGTGTGTTTTTCACTGAAACGTTTGGGATAAATAAAAATAAATTTTATGAAAATCCCGGATTCCCAAAAAGGATGGTTTACATGTAAAGAACTGGCACAAACACTTTATCAAAAGAGATGAAAAGTTAACTTTAAATACAGGTTTTTTCTTAACTTCCCAAGTCATTCCTACCATGGTTTCACCGCTTAACCGTTTGTCGTTAAGCTGCTAAAAATAATATCCAAATATGTATATTTTATTGTTTGATTTTGCAAATTGACCATATACTATTAGGAAAGATGAGTTATTTAGGCTAAGAGCTTATTTAACAATTAAGCTTAACACTTTTTTATTGCACTTGAATGATCACATTTCAGTAGTTTCCAGTAACTTAATGGTCCTAGATTATCAGCGAACTATTTAGAAATTTCTACAAACCTCTAGGCTATGTGTAAAAACCGAAATTTTAGTTTACAATGACCAGATAGAAACCTATAAAAAATAAATAAACTATTAACATAACTACTTACTTGTTCCATAAAAATGTACATTTTGGCTCAAGCCTTCTTCAGGAACAATAACAACAAAAACAAATAATTTGTTTATCTTGTGTTCCACAAAGTTCCACTCACACAAGGTGTCACCCAACCACGTTCCTCACAACCATATGAAGCACCAACCAGCGACCACACTTGGCCAGCGTCACCAGCGTTGCTGTGCAGTATGCAGTCAGCATAGCAACGCTTGTTGCACTGCCTACGAATTGACAGGCAAAGCTCTCTCAAAGTTCTTAACGCTTTTTACCATGCGGTTGGCATTCTAGGTTTATTGTAGTATGTTTTATGTGCTAGCGTGGCGTCTCCCGAGCGCCGAGTCTCCCAAGCGCCGAGTCTCAAAGCCCCAGCGCCGAGAGCAAATAAATATCCCCAGCGCCGAGGCCATAAATTACCAAAGGTTCTGCTCAGTGATGAAGAAGTGACGAGGGTTACCTTCTCTTTTAAAATTGTATCAATGAGGTTAATGAGTCTCCCCAGTGCCGAGTCTCCCCAGTGCAGAGTCTCCCCAGCGCCGAGTCTCCCCAGTGCCGAGTCTCCCCAGTGCCGAGTCTCCCCAGTGCCGAGTCTCCCCAGTGCCGAGTCTCCCCAGTGCCGAGTCTCCCCAGTGTCGAGTCTCCCCAGTGCCGAGTCTCCCCAGTGCCGAGTCTCCCCAGTGCCGAGTCTCCCCAGTGTCGAGTCTCCCCAGTGTCGAGTCTCCCCAGTGCCGAGTCTCCCCAGTGTCGAGTCTCCCCAGTGCCGAGTCTCCCCAGCGCCGAGTCTCCCCAGTGCCGAGTCTCCCCAGCGCCGAGTCTCCCCAGCGTCGAGTCTCCCCAGTGCCGAGTCTCCCCAGTGCCGAGTCTCCCCAGCGTCGAGTCTCCCCAGTGCCGAGTCTCCCCAGTGCCGAGTCTCCCCAGTGCCGAGTCTCCCCAGTGCCGAGTCTCCCCAGTGCCGAGTCTCCCCAGTGCCGAGTCTCCCCAGTGCCGAGTCTCCCCAGTGCCGAGTCTCCCCAGTGCCGAGTCTCCCCAGTGCCGAGTCTCCCCAGCGCCGAGTCTCCCCAGTGCCGAGTCTCCCCAGCGCCGAGTCTCCCCAGTGCCGAGTCTCCCCAGTGCCTAGTCTCCCCAGTGCCGAGTCTCCCCAGTGCCGAGTCTCCCCAGTGCCGAGTCTCCCCAGCGCCGAGTCTCCCCAGTGCCGAGTCTCCCCAGTGCCGAGTCTCCCCAGCGCCGAGTCTCCCCAGTGCCGAGTCTCCCCAGTGCCGAGTCTCCCCAGTGCCGAGTCTCCCCAGTGCCGAGTCTCCCCAGTGCCGAGTCTCCCAAGCGCCGAGAGCAAATAAATATCCCCAGCGCCGAGGCCATAAATTACCAAAGGTTCTGCTCAGTGATGAAGAAGTGACGAGGGTTACCTTCTCTTTTAAAATTGTATCAATGAGGTTAATCTGTGAAGCAGTAAAGGTTAGGTTAGGTTAGATTAATCATTCAAGATTAAGTGCGACGATATCAAAAGTACGAGAGTCAGTAATTAATTACAAAGTACATAACACTCAACATTTCTGTTATGTGATAAAAAAGTCAAGTCAGTGTTCCAGCCCGGACGTCACATTGCGGCGCATTTTGTGAAATATTTTTTCCAAATGCTTCCCTTATCTTTGCTTTAAGTTCAAGTTTTTAGATCGGCGAGCGACAAACTTGATCAATCACAAACCCCCTGACAAAAATTCACACTTCAGATTTTGTCTCTATAAACCATTCAATGCTCTACGCTGTGCTTTCAAATTCACCTCCATATTACAGCTGTACATTTTTAAAATTTAAACGTGCTAACAACAATGGAACAGCTGATTTTAAGGGGACAAAAACATAAAGATGATAGCTTTAAAATTTGCCATAGTTGACTTTTCTACAACCCTTGGTCACACGTACATTAAACCAAAGATTTGATCACGAATATTAATTGATCCATTATTTTTGGGTCACGGTGTATATACATAAACAAGAAAACTACAACTTTTGCTTATCCTTCTAGGAATTTAAAATTTACTATTGTTCTCCTTATTAAGTGCATGACAACATTTCAACTACAACATAATTTTTTTAAATTCCTACAAAACGGCAATGCGAAATATATGAATATGAACGGAAGGACTTTTGGCCTATGGGGACTTCAAAACGAAAAAAGTAAATCGGTCCCGTCTTACCATGAGACCTGTGGTAGTCCCTATGGGAAATTCGCTAAAATTACAAATTATCGCCCCAGAATTATAATTTCCTCTCGTATTATAACGTCCTTGTATTAATTACCCATGGTTCCACGCACTCTTATGATGCTCTTGATACAGTTGGTATGATTCATAACTGTACTTATGTCGTCTCAGCAATGTTCATGGAACCGCAAACTGTCACTTTCAAATGTGTTTGCAAGCGTAAAGAAGGAGACATTGTCTTGATGTAGGAAAGTAGTCAATGTTAACTTAATGATACACTTAGGTGTACAATGCAGTTAGCTTTCAATATTGAGCGGAGCAAGCTTATTAATCTAATGTTTTCCAAAGTCAATGCTTTATCTGTTTTACTTTATGTAAATGGGATGTCTACTTGCAGTACCCAAAGTCAATGGTACATCTGGTTCAAATGAATGGAATGTCTACTTACAGTACCGAAAGTCAATGGTATATTTGGTTCACATAAATGCAATGCCTATTTGCACTATCTAAATTCAATAATGCATAAACATAATTGGTAATACTATTTTGTAGTAAATAATTGGATACTCAACCAACTAAACTGTATTATATCTTTGACTATTAATACAAAAACTAGACATTCCATCCCAATGTTAAAGTTGTAGCCAGGTTTTTAATCAAATTTATCTTAGTTGATGTGAGCCACCTGATTTCGCTGATCTAAGCTACTGATTTCTGCCGATTACACGATGTCTTTTACCAAGTCTAACTAATGGAATGACTTATTATGAGCTATAGCAACTGTTGTGACCCAGCAACTATGTCAGTAACAAAAAATAAGGTACAAAATAGAGTTTTAGACACTAGTGCAATCTGTGACAGGCTCACACAACTACATTCTTTTTTAGTAAAAAATTTGCGACAGCTGATCCATATAGGGATGTCTTCTTCATCGATCTCTATTATTACTACGTCTTCTTCTGTATCCAATAGTCAATGATTATATCCAATTGTTCTTCCCTTTTGTTCTGTATTTTTAATGTACTAGTTTAGATAATTTGTTGATAAACATATGCTATGAATCTTTTGTTTACACTTTTATTGTTATCTTGCCAATACTGTCATGGGAATGGGAACCAAGGCAACCAATCAACCCATAAGGCCCATGTTATATTTCTAAAAGTTTAAATTCACTAAAACAAAAGCTGGAGTAGTATAAGAGAATGTGAAAGAAGATCAAAATTTACCCCCCAAAGCTCTATTTAACAATTGAAAGTCCCAATAAGATCGAACCCTAAATCGATATCGAAATGGGAATACGCTTTTAGTAATTCTAAAACGTACGTACATTATTTGGCCCAACTTTGATATCCAACTCCACCTTGCTATCAATTGTTACAATCGAAATAGAGTTGGTTTTTGGTTAGTGTTGAGGAGGGTGGTTGTAATATATTTCGTAGATTGTGTATCTTCATATTTATGTTGTCAGAAAGACTGTTGTTACATTCCAAATATTGTCAAACACTGTTTACGATCACATCAACCACACATTCGTTCAGCTCGGGCCATAAGTCAGCTTCTAACAAAACGAGACCGTCCTTCGGTCATAAACTAACCCCTCGTATCTGTCTCAAGAGACGTTATCTAGGTCCTTGTTCAAGGGCGGTCTTTGGGAACGATCAAGTAAACACTGTCGAGTCGTTCAAGACTTCAAGTGACACAAAAAATATCATATGTCAGTCAAGAGAGCCGAAAGCCCCGGACTGAGGCTGCTATAGGACCAGGTCCTCTTCAGTCTATTCATTTTCACATAGCATTCATGTAGGATGTGAAAGGCAGACCCCTCCACGTATTAAATCATATCATGGACAAAAATAATTAAACATGGACCATCAGCTTTGCTGCGGTTCCATAGGTTCTGGCGCACACCGATGGGAGCGCCATTTACTTACGTCGTACGCGCTAAGTAACTTCTCGGTGCTCCAAGCGGTGTGCGCCAGAACCTATGGTAACCATGGTAACCGTAGCCCTGCTGACATGATCATATACAGTAGTTCGAATTAGTAATTACATTTAGTTTATAATCAAACAGTCCACTTATATCGAATTAGTTTTGCATTCTTAAACATTTTTTATTGCGTAAATTGTTTTCGTGTTCGTTTACTAATCACGAAATTAAGGTTTAGATGACCAATTTAGATTCAAGTATTTAACATATTTCTGGACCATCTGTTCTACCATGTTGATTATTTAAAACAGATGATTTACGATACTCTAAGGGTGACCTTGACCCTTAATACACATTTTGTGAAATACGAATGAGACAGATATTTATAACCCTACTTTTACTACTTGCGTAAACCCAAGGTCTTGATGCTATATCAGCGGCCTTGGCATTTGTGGTAAGACCTCATCTTTGATAATTAAAATCAGGTTCGTCCCCTTGTAAGATTAGTTTAGCTCTTCCTTCAAACCTGTTAACATTGGTTTTACAAGCCTTTGCGGAAAATGACATTTTAAATATCACTTTCAAGATATTAGTTAACATTTAAATTTAAAATTTAAATTTCTTTCTTAAAACCTAAAATTACCAGGTTATAATTACAACCATCATGTAGAGCTTGAAAAAACTAAATATTTTGTATATTGACGCGTTGTTGTAGGTTTAGAGATTACGAAGGAAATTATTCTAAAACTGTGCGTTAACATTCTTGTTATTCTTAAGGAGAAAAAGTTGTAGGTTATTTGTTCATGGTTGCATTTTTCTCAAACCAAGCCAATGTATTTATTTCATACTAAAGCCTACTAGTAACATTTTATCAAAACAACTTTTCCTTTCACGTAGCAGCAAAGGTAGCAGACAACATAAGTACTCGTTATTCTAGTGTTATTTAAAAATGAAATAAATCTGACAAGTTAAAGAAAATATCTTAAACAAAACCCAATCAAACAAACGAAAATCCTCTTAGTCTGCAGGTTTGCTGTGGCGTGGGCCATTTTTCTGGGCCACATATTTAACAAGGGAATGTGTTGTCTACTTCAATTGTCAAAAGTTCTAAACACTTCATGAGTCCACATTCTAACAAGTAAGTAAACAACGAAAACAGCAGCGTCGGTAACATCAGCTGGGGAAAGCGGTGCATTGTTGATCAGCTGATCTGGAAGGTAGACTCCAGTCCTGTCGTAGCCAGTTCCAGTAGTCAGTACGCTCGCGATGGTGCTAGCGAAAGTGCCGGTGTTTTGTGGAGTGTTGCTCCTCGTCGCAGCAACCTACGTACTCGCTCAAGCCCGCGCCAAGCTCCCTGCTGTTGACCCAAGTAAGATTTCGAAATTTAGGTTTAGCAAATAAATTTTGTGTTAGTTACTAATTTTGAAAATTATTGGCTTGATGAGTTAAGGAAATAAAAATCTTGGAGGTATCTTAAATATATCCATTTTATTCAGAGTGTAAACCAATCTCTTGAACTTGACCACATGATTGTTTATAGCATAAAAATAAACAAAATTACCAGCAATTAAGCATTACGGTATTGAAAATCAAATCAATCTATCATCATTAAAGATGAGAACGCAAACAAATGGCCATAGTAAGTGTAGATGAGCAATGCATTTTGCAGTTTGGTTACTGGCAGTTCATTTAGTCTGGACCATTTATTAAACACCCAACGAACAATGTATTCCGTTTATTACTTCAATTTTTCTACAATAATGATCAATATGACATCAACCGATTGGTCTAAATATGAGTTAAAACAATTTTGCAAGCGTAGCTTATTACAATTTTAAGACAAGATTGTTTAACAAGTAGTACATAACTAAGCCGATGTTTGTTTTTTCTCTAACAGTTGAGTAACATAGGTTTGCAACCGTTGTTTTTTTACAGACACTCATTGAATCTATAACAATAAACGTGAATATAGTAACGGTAATTATTGTGGTATGAACTAACGAATGAATGAAAAATACACAAGAATCTACAATATATGTCTTAGATGAAACGTCAACAGTTTTTAACATAATTTAAAATATAAATTGGTGCACATACCCACTTCGGTGCGAAATTAGCAAGTGTGGCATTAGAAAAATTATGGATTACAACTAAGCAGGGTATTTAAACCATTAATATTCAACGTAATCTGGAACCTAACTTAAAAAATTATAATTGATTTTTGATTCTTGTCACCTTAACACACGTGGATAATTTTAATGGCTTGAAACAGCGACACATTTTAAATTTAAATCCTTTGTGATGTATCTTTGGATGTAGATAAACTAAGGTAAAGGAGGGATTTAACTCGTTAAAGTTACAATCAGTTTCAGAATAAAAACTTGACTAACTTTTTATTCTGAAACTGATTAAAAATCAGTAGCCAATTGGGCTACTAAAGGAATAATATGCTGCAGTGAAATTTGGTTTTCTTCTAAACCTTGGACTTAAAAATCCCGAACTTAAATAGACCAATTATTCTTAACTAAAGAATCTTTTACTCATCAACTACTAACGTATTACAAACTGTAAGAGCAAATACAACCTCAATACTTTAATTTAACTTCACTCTATAAATTCTTAACTTTTCCCTGTGCTAAGCTCAACTGTGTTTTTCATTAAGAAAACTGGCTACAATTTTACCAATAGATGGAACTTCTTATGTAGGGTGGAAATATAAATATATTCAAATTACCTTCACTGGAGTGTTGTGATGTTTAGATGGCCTTGCCTCTGTAACCAAACAAAAACACCAGTGTTCATCCAATCTCCACATCTAAATATACCTTCAGAGTGTTTCAGCATTTTACAAGATTATACTTCAATACTTTTCAATGAAATGGCGACCATAAATGTAATGGAAAAAATGACTTTCCCTGATAAAAGTATTCATCCATCTATCTACTGTATAAACACACTTAATACAATAAGGGTTGTCCCAATAATTCCTTTTCCAGCCGTCTTACTTAACCAATTTTTACAGTTCAAGTGTCATTTTAAAAAGCTTATGATTATCGGATTGACAAATTGAATTAAAAGGGTGATTTCCTTTTGGGTTTCGACCCCTTGCGTTTAATTTATTTATGGAATTCATTTTCAAAGATAATAAAAAAACGAAGCGAAAAATGTCAAAGAAAATTAGCAAATCATCCAAATTTCCTGGCAGTTAACCTCCTCGATAATAGCGAAGCTACTTTTAGGCTCAGAAGAATACATCCAACCGATCTTCCAAATCCTTTCTAGTTTATTTTTTTTATAAAACGTTTTGTATATTTTGTTGGAGTGTAATTAACTCATGTTGAGTTGTACATAACATTTACTTATTGTTCTAGTATAGAACAAATTGTAAAAACAGTACAATACTTGTAAAAAAAACCAAAGATTCAGTGATGCTAAGTAACTTTCTTTATAAAGGCTTGGACGTGACTTATAATTTAACAGCTGATCCTTCAGTTAAATGTTTAACCACAGTCAGATTGTAAACAAGATTCGAAACCGTTTATGAAAATCGGTTAGTTTTTGAGGATTGTGACTCTGGATTTAAGGTAGGCAAATCACTTTTTATAGGTAGAATAGATCTAAAATTAACAAATTTATTGCAAATCAGTAGTTTTATTCACCTAAAAACTGTCTTAAACATAACCTTGAAATGGTAAATATTGCGCTAAATCCATTTTTCCTAGAAAACGAGTCTTGAGCCCTATATACTGCACTATTTGCGAACTCTCCTCGTGTATCTACAAAGTTGTGACCTAAGTTGGTAATTTTTAGTAAGGTACAACTAGCAAAGCAAACCCTTAGATAAAAGCATATCAAATTCCCAATCCATCTGGATAGAAAATTAATTAAGAAATATCACTTAAATTCTCCTTTGACTACTGAATTACTACATGGTTTTAACGCGCGTTTTGATACAAAATACACTCAAATCTAATTACACACATTGTACTACTGCACAAACAACTAAAACGCCCAAACTTATTTACGTTGATGTGTTATTATCGAGTGTCTAAATTTTCCTCGTTATCAACATTCATAGGATTTACTTTATTTTTTACACCAAGTCATTAGAAAGGGTTAATTGTTTTGCGGCATTCCTACCAATTAGGATGTGCTCTGTTTTGATTTCCTCCGTTCACTGGAAGAGTTGTTGTCGAATTCACTTGAGGGTGTCACTGTTTATCTCAACGATATCACAGACCACTAAACTAGGGCGAAGGACGTCTCCTTACATGTCTGTGCGGCCATGGACCGGCTTTAGAGGTCTTTGCTTTTGTCGTGACTATAACTCCGTTGAGAGTCACTTTTGAATTATAGTGCCATATGAATGTATCAATTAAGTATTCATTTTTACTTCGATTTTTATCGATCAGTGTATTTTGTAAATCGTCCTCTATGGTTTGTTCAAATAAAGAAGGTGGTTGGAGATGGGATCTTGAGGTCAATGAACAAGGTTTGTATTCTTTGTCACATGTAGATCTCATCTCCCAACTGACTTCGTTATTTGAACAAACTATAGTGCGCGATTTACTCTTAATAGTATCACGGACAATGTCAAACAATTAAATTCAGTCAATGACAAAAGCAAGAGTTATTTCAACACAAGAAATAAGATTGTGTTCCGAAACAAAACACAAACTAACTTGATAACACTTTATATTGATTCAAACTCATGACTGTAAATTTAAATAAGAAGGGCCTTCTGGAAACAGTCTTTCAGCACAGATAAAAACTTATCAGCAAAAGTTCATAAAGTAAAAATGTTCATTAAGTTCAGTAAGGAAAAGTTTATTGGAGTTTGAAACTGATAAGGGAGTTTCCCTAATACGACATCTAGTCAAATCCTTAAACATCGAGATTTCCATAATTAACTTTCAACTTTAATTATCTTGTTGGCCGAATGGTTACACTTCGGTAATATAAATAATATCTGAAGATAGGTACAATGCTAGGCGAGATAGATTCTACCTAAATACCGTTTATCATTTTGCTATCAATCAATCGTGTTAAGAAATAAAGTTAAGTTCGGACCGTCTCCTTACAAAAAGTTAGAGGTGTTTTAAACTTGGACTTTTGTGTTGTAAATACTAAAACTTTATAGACCCTGAAGAACTCTTCTGTTATTTGACGCAACAAAAAGTACTTGTACATCATTCTGCTTCTGTTCAGACGAATTCCTTTTGTGCAAAACTGAAAATGATTGACTGACTGCAAAAAACAAAAGATGAATCACTACAGACATTTAGTGTGAATAAAAATAGAGCACGAGGAACAACTCTCCGAAGAATGTCGCTCGAATTTAAATCAACCAGTCCTGTGGTTTCCCATCAGCCGAAGTCTGATTTTGTTTTCTTTGCCCATCCTCGTTGTTTTTCCCCGCATGGACGTCGACCCATGGTTCGTCCACCGCAGGGTCTCTCACCCTGTCTTGACTGGTTCTGCAGGAACGGGGACTCTTGTTTTGCTCTTGATGCCTCTCTAGTCTGAGGTCAGGACACTTTGCCCTTGGTGAAGGACAAATAAGTTGACCAAAGAAGGAGCTGGTGTGCTTTTTTCTAAACATGTGGAGTACTGTGGATTTTTTTTAGAAGATAGGACAATAGCGTTCCGCAAAGGACTTCTTTAAGCTAGGATCTTCTAGGGGGACTTTAGTCTACAGTTCGTTTGGTTGAATACAAATTAATATGCACAAGTGACATTTTGGCGTTCTGAATAAGTTTGTCAGTACACAAACAAAATACCTTGTTTAGAATGTGTGACTTTTGCCGACCATTTGATTGTTTGACTTAATATTTTCAAAGTGTCAATAATTTTGCTTTTGGGGAGTTTGAAGTTTATCCTCAGAGACGAGGCTCAAATTTGTTTAAATTTGATCTCGAAAAAATAATAATCTCTTTTCCTAAAATATATTTGAATAAACCAGCAAGCAAAAACACACTGATAACACTATCCTATCTAGCCTATATATTAATAGGCAAGCATGTTTCTTTAAAATCTTTTTTTCTCAGCTCATGTGCATTGCAGGGGAAATTTACGAATACTAGATAGATATTTTCCTGTAGATGTGCAGAATCCCTTTATAAATTAAAGTAGGCTCAAAAATAAGCACAAAAAATGAATTCAAAATTAAAAAATTCATTGGCCTTATGGGTTGTCATGTTGGCGACGAAATATGAACAGAAAATCAAAACAAATGGAAGAACTTTCAATCCTGTTTTATTTACAGCGTGGGTGAAAATAGAGAAGTCTTAACACACAATTTTTGTAGAGTTTTCGACCACTGGATGACCTCTAGTATTAAATATTTGTTCCACGATGTCTGTAGAGTAT